TTATTTTTCTTACTGCGCTGTGATTTGCCTGACAGTTTCTTCCACTTTTTACAGAGATTAAGGGATGAAAGAGTGTTAATTGATGGGTAATTTAGTTCTCCGTCAAACAGCCTTTTTTCATCCCTTAATCTCAATTAGGAGGGAAGAGGTGAATTTTTAATTACCGGGAGTCACTGTGCGCCGCGAAACTATTATTTTTCTCACTGGCCCCTGACTTTCTTGGCAGTTTTTATTTTTTTGTTACAGAGATTAAGGGATGAAAGAGGGTTAATTGATGGGGAATTTAATTCTCCGTCGAACTGCCCTTTTTTCATCCCTTAATCTCAATTAGGAGGGGAGAAGTGAATTTTTAATTCGCGGGCGAAAGTCACTGTGTCACTTTTTGTTACAGAGAGTAAGGGATAAAAGAGGGTCAATTAGTGGAGAATTTAATTCTCCGTCGAACTGTTCCTTTTTCATCCCTTAATCTCAATTAGGAGGGGAGAGGTGAATTTTTAATTACCGAGAGTCACTGTGCGACGCAAAACAATTATTTTTCTTACTGCGCTGTGATTTGCCTGACAGTTTCTTCCACTTTTTACAGAGATTAAGGGATGAAAGAGTGTTAATTGATGGGTAATTTAGTTCTCCGTCAAACAGCCTTTTTTCATCCCTTAATCTCAATTAGGAGGGAAGAAGTGAATTTTTAATTCACGGGCGAATGGTGAAAAGTCACTGTGCGCCGAGAAGAAAATCATGTTTCTCACTGGCCCATGACTTTTGTCGTAGTTTGTATTTTTTTGCTACAGAGATTAAGGGATGCAACGGGGATCGATTGATGGGGAATTTAATTCTCCATCACACCGTCTGGGTTTCATTCCTTAATATTAATTAGCCAGCAAATGAATCACCTGAAAAATATTAAGAACATGTTGAGGACGAGGAGAGCATAAATCCCCCTCCGAAATTATCCCTGTGACAGCGGGACTGCTACTGCCGAGTTACCCGCACAGGCAGTTCGTCCAGCCGTCAGATTCGACCGTGGCGCCATCCCTCCGTTGGGGTCGAACTATTTTTGGCTTGAGGTCACTTCAAGCCCCGAGATCTGAGCCTCTACTAGTCAACCCTCTTTGATAATATCTCCGAAAGAGGATAGACCTGAGTAGAGGCCCAGATCGGTGGGTTTGACTGACTCCAAAAATGTTAGTTGGTACCCCACGGGAAAGGCGGCGTCCCGGTCGAATTGTCTGTAATAAGGTATGATACAGGGAGGTATGGTGAAGCTTTGATGTCGCCGACACCGAAACAGGGGACAAGTTCCAATGGAAGCCGCGCGCGGCGCT